GAGGACGAAAGAGTGGCTACTTCCATCGATAGGATGAGCAAAATCACACACGTGTAGTAGTGTATATGTCGATGTTCCAGCAGAAGATTCATTCGATTTTGCTCATCCCAACGATGGAAGTAGCACGAGGCCAGCTGCGGGGTTGGAGACTTACCTGTTGGCGGGTACGTCGCTAAACCTATCCATGGAACACTCTCTCTCTCTCTCTCTCTCTCTTTCTCTGTGTGTGTGTGTGTGTGTGTGTGTGTGTGTGTGTGTGTGTGTGTGTGTGTGTTTTGAAGGAACAGGAAGCCACAGCACTAAGTACAGCGCAGCAAACCACAGCTCAACAAACCATACTAAACTCAGCGGACCCTTGCATCATGGTCATCCCAGTCCCTCGAAACCAATTACCCAGGGGTTGCATTGAACTCAACCATCCGATATTTTGTCATAACCATTCATGCACTTTGTCTCATTGGTGACAGAGTACATGCCCAAAAGCATCATTGGGAGGTATAATCTTGTGCAATCAAGGCATATTTGTAGTGTATTACTATTTATGCAGATGTATATCCATGTCATCGAAGGGAATAGGAGATAGAAGATGTTACAGCCCAATAATATCATATTTGACAAAAAATTATATATATATACACAGCCCCTCGTTTGTTGTCCTCTTCTCTCTCTCTGCCTACGGTTTTACCGGGCAGTTCTGTTTGTGACGATATATATATACATGGGAAATCATCAACCTTAACTGATCAAAACACCAAATAGGATTTGTACAAACATGACGAAGAGCAAACATTCAGAAATTTTAAATGGTTTCCTTGTAGCTTGTATTCCGCTGCCTAGAGGCATGTCAAGAAAAAATGTGTTCCTAGAATTAGTGTCCAGATTAACTTTTTACATGCTAAACCATTACCTCCCACTTCTCAGATATCATGTAGCGACAGGCTTTTTCAAATCACCCGACAAACGAAACTGAAAGGAACAGTACATGATGCATCAACTTCATACCCTAAAATACCTGCTTCAACTCCAAGCACATCCCATCGATATCCTAGTTCTATGCCCCTTACTGTAGATCATGATCTAGTTCAAACAGGATGCAGACATCAATTAATATTCAGCTATATTGAATGCGGAAGAAAGGTATGCAACATTAAGATCCGAAGCCCGACCGCTTAAAGCATTCAGTTAATCGACCCAGCCCGCAAACAGTTAAGACAAATGTGACGGCCTATCATCTTGACTCGATTATCAGCATCCATTTGTGACACGACAACCAAATGAACGATCAAAACCTATAACATTGAAACTATAAAAAACATCCACAAAACACCCAAAAAAAACGCGTGTCATTCATATGCCAGTAGATACTCCATTAAGCTTCATTCCCCCTCACACATATGCTGGATCAAACACTCCGCTGAACCCAAAGAGCGTCGTGTGATCTGGAATACTATGCCATCACCACTCCACCTTGCATCCCAACCTTGCCCACCAGATCGATCCTCATATCTATCTGCGCAAGCGCCCCTCTGATCAAAGCATTGCATATACCCCTTCCTGTTGCATATACTCCGGGTTGGATTCTGACGATCTGCTCCAGCGATGCACTACAAGTATCCCGATCCTTGCCAAAACAGCGACGATAGTGTAATGCGCATAGCCAATCAAAACGATCTTGCAGCACAACCCCTTCCACTAGCCAGGATTTTCATCCATCCTCCAGCGCCTGCCACTTGCTTTTTCCGCACACACCAACTCATTTGGACACCAATCACAGGAAGGCAACCAATCCTCATAGCTCTTTCTCCTTACATCAGCCTGTCCCGCATACGCCAATTCAATTCCCATATCCATCGTCGCAGGCACATATGGTGAACGTATTGACTAATCTCCCGCTGGTCGCACATATACCATAAGGAACACTGAAGATCTGACTAAGCGATACAAGACCATACCGCCTATTACAGCCGTCATGGAAACTACAGCGCAGCATGTATGAACCAGCAAATCATTTTCATAGCAAACTCCCACCTCCCTAGCCCACATCCCCATCCACATCCTACCCAATATCATCGTCGCCATAACTAAACATACTCCCATCCAAACCACAACCACAAGAAGGCATGCAACACCTTCCATCACCCTACTCCTTTCGACAAACGCTCTGTTGCGCAGCGATCCCAGATGAGTTGCTGTTGGCGTAGCAGAATCCGCAATCACGCACTCTTAAAGCAGAAAATTCCATGAACACGAAGAAGGCAAGTAACGCTAGGAAGAATGCAAAGATTGAAACTATAGCAACAACCACATATGCAGACTCCATATGGAAACTTCACCTTCGGTCTTTGATCAAACATTACCGCACGCGCATCAATTCCTACATTATCACTCACACGCAGGCAATCATCACAACACAAAACAGAAATGCGAGAGCCAAAGAGAGGCTCGAGTCCTCTCCGAACCGTACGAGATAGTCACCTATCATACGGCTCTCTATTCTACTTGCTTCGTAGTTCSAGTCTTCGAGTGAGTGAGTTGAGTGAGAGGCCGAAGTAAATAAAAGAAAACGCAAGAGCGCCCATAGGATCACGTATACAGACGATTTATTTTTAGAATTGAATTAGTTTCGCCAGATTACGGAATACATACGTATATGACCTTTCCCGGAGAAGGATTGAGTTTGTGAGTAAAGTGAGACCCGTGACATTGTATTCAAGTCTATATCAACAAAAAAATTGTGGGCTTTTTTTTGGGCGATTTATCATATGCGAGCACCCTTTTTAAACTGTTGGTTTCGTGTTAA